AAGAACAAACAGCAACAACACTAGCAGATGTGGTGCTTAAGGCAAGGTTGCCGCAAAAAAAAAAACAAAAAAACTTGGCGGTCGTCATTAGCAGTTCACAAATTGGACATCCGTAAAAAAAATACAACTGAGCTTTGTGACTCAATTGTTCGGCAAAACAAACAAAAAAATGCGACGGATTTTAATTCAATTTGCCAAAAATATTGGCAAAATCAAGGTAATATTGGCACTATGTGTGTGTGTGTAATTTTGATTTATTTACAATTAATTGGTGTTTTTTTTTTTTTTTTTGTTGGAGTACACTTCATGGTAGTGCTATTTTTTGTTTCGGGTCATTAAAACGCGATTGAAGGAATGATTTAATTCGATTTCGTTTTATACGATTTGTTTGATTTGATCGACATTTAGATTTGTATGACAAATGGCTATAAAAACACTTGGAAATTGCTGCTGCCAGAACTAATTTGTCTCTTGTCGAGGGCTGACTGACTGGCTGACTGATTGTGTGGTGTGTTTGTTATTTATTTAGCCATTGAATTATGGGTAGTTCAAATGGCTAAATCAACATCAACTGCATGGTGACAGTTTGTCTGCAACGATGTTGAGGTAGGTTGCTGTCACAAATTCGGATTTTTGTTTCAAAGGAAAAAATGGTTCTTTTCCAGAACGGGTAATTTTTGGAAATTTGAAATAAAGGTTCGGTAGAAATTACCAGAATCCGATCAATTAGTTGAATCAGTGTAGGTGTAAAAATTACAGTACCGGATCAGTCCTTTTTTACCTTCCCGGAAAGGGAGAGATAATTATATATCTTTAAAAACGGCAAATAAGAGTCCCATTGTCTTCAAATTTTCAGATCCCAATATTTATGCCATCAAAAGATCTGGTATAAATAATCTACTACTCCATCTGGTACCTTTTCTACAAAGGGTCAAAATTTTAAAAAGTAAAAATAGCATTTTATCATTGTTTGGAATAATTGAAACAACTCCCTGTATTACCTCCCCTATACCGGTCAAATTTTTGAACAAACATAACCCTCACGAAGTGCAAAATGAGCAACAGATTCTTTTCAAATATGACACATCATATATTTCTACCAACACAAGATCAGGTGGGTATATGGGATATACACCTCACAACATGCGAACCAAGTCAACGATTTTATTAACACTTTATATATCACAATTTTTTCAATAACCAGATACGAGATATGTGAATATGGAATATATAAGTCCACTATTTCTGAATAATTATACCCTCAGCCATATGGGTAGAGAGGGTATATATCATTTTAGACCCTAGGTCTCTTTGGACCATATCCGTTTCAGGACATTTGGACCTGGCGATGTCCTCCTACTGTCTGTCTGTCTGACTGGTGCGCACGATAACTCTCAAAGGGAGTAACCGATTTGGTCCAAACTTGGTACATCCAAATATTTTTGTTAAACTTAGATCGAGTTCGGCAATATTTGTCCACTCCTTCTGGCACCTCTCCCACAAAAGATCGAAATTTTCAAAAAAATTTATTTTTTGCACAGAAAGAGTACCGATAATCCGATTTTTCTCCAGCTTTGCAAATCCTAATATTTGCGTCAGTTCGAGGTCAGGTACGTAAACGGACAATATAGGTCTACTCCAAGTACCTTCCCCACAAATGGTAAACATTTTGAATAATTTCAACTCTCATAAAATGTGATGTAACAGGCCGATTGTCTTCAAATTTCACACATCCCAATATTTTTATTAACCCAAGGTCTGATCTTAAGATGGAATACATCGGTCTACTCCTTCTGATACCTCCACAAAATATCGAGTTTTTAAAAAAAATATATTTTCTGCACAAAAAGAGAAGCAATAATCCAATTTTGCTCCAACTTTGCAAATCCTAATATTTTCGTCAGTTAGAGGTCAGGTACGAAAATGGACGATATCGGTCCATTCCATCAAGTACCTCCCCCACAAAGGGTCAACATTTTGAATAATTACAACTTTTATAAAATGTGATTTAAGAATCTGATTGTCTTCAAATATCACACATCCCAATATTTTTTTAAACTCAAGATCTGGTCCAAAGATGAAATTTATCGGTACACTCCTTCTGGTACTTCCCCCGTAAAAGTTGGAAATTTTGAATACCCATGAAGCTCATAATACGCGAAATTAACATCCGATTCTATTAAGACTTGAACTATCTAAATATTTCCATCAATACAGGATTTGCTATAAAAACGGTAAAGATCGGACCATTTCTTCTTGTACCTCCCCCACAACAAGGGTCAAAATTTTGAATAACCAAAACGATCATAAAATCCGAAATGAGCATCTGGTTCTCCTCAAATTACACACGTCACAATATTTTTATTGAACCAGTCTGGTGTGAAGATGGAATATATCGGTCCACTCCTTCTGGTACCTCGACCACAAAGGGTAAAATTTTGAATATCCATTAATCTCATAAAACGCGAAATTAACATTCGATTCCATTCCAGACTTGGTACCTCTCAATATTTCCATCAACACAAGATCCGTTATAAAGATGGTAGATATCGGATCATTTCTTTTGTTACCTTCCCCACAAAGGGTTCAAGATTTTGAAAAACAAAACGCTCCAAGAAAACGAAATAAGCATCCAACTCTATTCAAATTTCACATACAAACACAAGATCTGTTGTAAAGATGATGTATATCTGCGAACCCCTTCTGGTACCTCACCCACAAAGGATCACTATTTTCAATACTTTGATCTGTCATAAATTGCGAAACAATTCTTTACAACTTGCTATATCTAAATATATGTCTCCCATCCAGAATTCAGAGATGAATATTGAATTTATGATTTCCCATAAATTGGATATAAATATTCGATTTTCTTGAAATTTTGCCCATTATTTATTATTAGATACAAATGTTCGATCTTCTGATTTCCAATATTTTTATATGTATTAGATGAAGCATGAAAATGGAATACTTCGGTCGACTATACTTGGTACCTCACGCACATGTTAACATTTTCTAAAAATTATCACATGTCTAATGTAAAGTGTAGGAAGTTACCAACCTGTTACCAAGTTGCTGCATATTTATATCGTGTTTATTTACGTCCCATACGAAATAGAAAATATTGGTCTATTCCCTCAGAACCTCAACAGTTTGAATAAGCGTAACAGAAATCAAAATATATTTAAATAATCGAACAATGGCGGAGGGTATATTCTGTCGACAGAACCGATTCGTACAGCAACGAGAGGTATAAGTTTTTTTTTCTATCAAAAACTTTAACTTTCATCAGTTTCAAATTATTATTTGAAAAATTATGTACAATACTGTTGAAAGAGATTGATTTTAATGAATCGCCTAAAAGTATGCCACAAAATAGAAAACTAGTTTAATGTTGAATATCAACATGACTGCCAATGAATTTTATGTTGGGCTGATTATTCTGACTATTAATGTTTCCCATATTCTACGTAATTGTTAAGAAAAATTTTAAAGCCGACAAAAATGTCATAAATGGTTCCAAAGGGCCTTAATATATTATATATATTCTATATATGTATATATATTCTTGATCAGCATGGAATTCTACGTCGATTTATCAATGTCCGTACGTCTGTCTGTCTATTCGTCTGTGGAAATCACTTTAGCATCCGAACGAAATGAAGTAGGTTGATAAAATTTTACTCAAAAGTGTATTATGTCTGCAGGACTTTTGGTATTGAAAATAGACCATGTAGGTCTACGTCTCCGTATAGCCCCCATATAACGGTACCTCCCGATATGCGGTATTTTTAAGATTTTACCGACATTATTTACCGGAATTGTTTCAAATTTCGTATTTGAAGTTCGCAATGGATACTACAGCCTATGAGAGAAAATTGTCTGTGCAGGTCCACGTCTTCGTATAGCCCCCATATAAGGGTACCTCCCGATATTCGGTATTTTGATGATTTTAGAGAATTTATTCACCGGAATTGTTTCCACTTTGGTATTTAAAGTTCATAATGGTTAATACAGCCTAAGACAGAAAATTGTCTTTGCTGGTCCACGTCTTCGTAGAGCCCTCATATAACGGTACCTCCCAATATTCGGTATTTTAATGATTTTATTTACATTTTTTTCACCAGAATTATTTCAAATTTGGTACTTGAAGTTCGTAATGGATACTACAGCCTATGACAGAAAATTGTCTGTGCAGGTCCACGTCTTCGTTAGCCCCCACATAACGGTACCTCCCGATATTCGGTATTTTGTTACCTACGCAGGTTCATGTCGTCGTATAGTCCCTAATATAATAGCTACATTCGGTATTTTTAAGATTTTAACAGAATTTTTAACAGATTTTATTGTTTTTGAGAATTGCCAAATTCGTTCCAAATGGTGGAGGGTATTCAAAGTTCGGCCCGGCCGAACTTACAGCTTTTTACTTGTTTCTATTTAAAAAAATCAAATGTGCGAAAATTGAAAAAATAGGACGACAATTTAACTTTTTTGAATGTATGGATTTTCTTCAAAATACTCTCATGGGGACGTACTAGAAGCAGTGGACTGATATATGTCATCTTTCCCTCTTTGGTATATTGTACAACATTTGAGGGAATTTATGAGATACCAGAAGGAAGGCGATATCCGAGCGAATGGATCGATACTGTTGATTTTCGCAACTAATCTAACACCGCTATCTACGAGATATTAGATTTCTTAAATGTTTATGTGTAAGGTATCAGAAGAAGGAGACGATCGGTGAATTAGTACGTGATTTATGAGAGTGGATTGGAGAGAGGAAGTACCAGGAGGAGTAAAACGACCTTGTTCCCTTTCCATACCTTTCCTAAATCTTTTTCCAATTTTCGTAATTTTTTGTCTTTGAAATTTTTTTCTAAGAAAAAACTATATTTTTGTCGCAAGATTTTTTTTGGATTTTAGGTCATCAACCCAAACTATAGTATCCCAGACATCCCAAAGATAAATCCTATTAAAAAATTTTAAAACCATTTATATAAAAAATCTATCATTTATTGAAAAATATAATTAACTCATTAAAAAAAAACTACTTGCTATACAATATGATGTTTACAAAGGGCCCACCTGCGTGAGAAAAAAAAAATGATATTAAAATATTTTATCTCAAAATCCTCTTACCCTACTCACCATATCCCATTCAAAGAATGGACTCAGAATGACAATGAGAATGAAAGTGAATGCGGCATACGACAAGCCATAGAACAGGATCTGATTGGAGGCGACATAATCCATTTGGGCATAGCGTTTGCCCGAGATGAGACAGGACACAAAACAAATGAACAGCCAAATGCCAAGAATATCATGGAAGGGCGCGAAGTATAGACGCAATTTGGTGTTCGGATACAAATAGGTGAAGATCATGGCAGCAACAATGAACTGTAAGAAGGAGAACTTATTACAAAATTTTTTAAAATCTCAATGAGAACGTCCTCTCCAACCTGAATGAGAAATATGAGAAATACCACCAACGAGGTTACGGTGTGAATTTCAAACCTGTAATAGAAAATGTTGTGCATGTGATACTCAACACACCAGAAACTGGCAACGAACAGCGACAGGGTGATCAAGTGCAGCAGCAAATGTATGTATTTCACGGTTCGGGTGCGTGTCCCAATCAGCAGGCGATAGATTATGATGGCTGAAAGATTTTATAAAAATTTAGATAAATAATTTTTATGTCTCAAAATTGTTGACTCACTAAATCCCATCAGAAGGGTTCCAATGACACACAACAATCCATGATAGCCACCCGCACAGTAACGCTGATCGAGATATTTTTGCGGTTGGAGAACAGCATCGCTATTGTCAGCTACCAAACCCGCTTCATCTGCAGGTGCTGCCGCATCGCCTCCACCACCGCCACCCTCAGGATCTGCACTGCCCGAGAAATAATAGGTGGAATCACAATGTGGCCTATCCAAGATCAGCAGACATAAAGCCACGCCACATGCCACGTAGGGTGTTAAAAGGATTCCTGCCACAACTTGGCTGGAACGAGCCATTTTCAAGGAAATTTGCAATTAATTGTATTTTTTCTCCTTTGAGGGTCTCTGGAGTTTGACAGGAAAAAAAATTAAATATATTTTGAAGTTTCGATAGGGGGAAATATTTTTGAAAATTTCCCAAAATTCTTAAGAATACACTGCGAATTATGAGTGAGTGTCCAATGAAAGAAAAAAATCAACAAAAGAAAAGCCTTTAACAGATCTTCTATAGAGATAAGTTGTTTGTTCTAGAACTGCAAGAATGTAAAAATGTCTACTGCGATAATCGATTTTCCCTTTATGATATCGAAGAAATTTGTATAACTTATAGATTCTTGCAGGTTCTAGGGCGGAGCAATAGTCGTGCAAAGGTTTTCTAAAGGAAAACCACTTAATTAAGGTCTTCTACACAGAGTGAACTTTTGACTGCTGTAGACCGAAAACTAGGGAAGTCGAGTTTTTAAAAAGTCTTCTATAAAAAAATGACTCTTTATGGGTATTCTATAGACAAAGGATATTTTAAAATATTCCATAGAGAAAGGCCTTTTACACGTCCGCTATAAACAGAAGACCTATTAAAAGTCTTCTGTAAATTAAAAACATTAAATTATTTTCTAAAGGAAAACGACTTTTTAGAGCCTTTCTATGGAAACAGTCAATTTAAAATGGTTTCCTGCAATAGACCTTTCTAAATATTTTTTTGAGGATTTTTTCGAAAGAACTTCCATATAATCTTCCTTTTGAATGTCTTCTTTAGAGAAAATATTTGGAAAGGACTTTTATCTCTTACACAGAGAAAATATAGGTGCTGTGTAAAAATAATATTTTTTTCGAGTTTTCTCTTGAGAAAATGCAATTTAAAAGCCTTCTATAGAGGATATACCTTTGAAAGATCTTCTTTACAAAAAACGTATCAGGAATATCTTATACAAATTACTGTTTTTTTAGGAAAAAAAACTTTGAAACAGGCTTCCAAAGAGAAGGTATTCTCTTCGAGAAAAATCCACTTAAAGGCCTCTTATACTGAGAAGACCTTCAAAGGACATCCTAAGGGCACTTCGAAAAGTCTTCTATAAATAGAAAACCTATGAACTTATGAAAAACATAACTCATTTGAAAGGACTTCTTTAGAAAGAACAAGTTAAAAACAGCTAAGTTCGACCTGGCCGTACTTTTAATACCCATCACAATTTTGAAGGTACTTGCAGATTTCAAAAAAAATTCCATAGAAAAATACCACTCAAATGAAACCCCTTATATGGGGGCTATACGAAGTCGTGGCCTTTCACAGGTAATTTTTTCGCATAGGCTACAGCAACGGTTCCGAACTTCAAATACGAAATTCTGTTGAATAATGCCGCCAAAATCATCAAAATACCGAATGTCGGGAGGTATCATTATATGGGGGCTATACGAAGACGTGTACCTGCATAGACAATTTTCAGTCATAGGTTTTAGTACCCATTGCGAACTTCAAATACGAAATTCGAAACATTTCCGGCACAAGATATGGCAAAAATTTTCAAAATGCCGAATATCGTTATATGGGTGCTATATGCAAACGTGGACCGACATGGCCCATTTAAGAACTTAACCTGCCTACTGTGCAAAATTCGTCCCAAAGATAGCGTGATTACAACAGAGAGGCGGACGGACATCGCTAAATCGACTTAGAATTATAGATTGATCAAGAATGTATAAACATTGTGTACTTCGAGGAGTTACAAACGGAATAACAAAGTTAATATTCCGTCCATAGTATGGTGGAGTGTATAAAACCTCTTAAAAGTTTTTTCAAAGAGAAAATACCTCTTGCAGATTGTTTGTAGGTAAAATATCGTTTACAATTGAAACAAGTAAGCAAAGGCTACAGTCGAGCGGGGCCGACCGTTGAATACCCTACAACACTATAATAAACCATACAGTTTATATAGGCGAGATACTCGAAAGAATTCCACAAGATATTGTGACAAATAATAAAAGAAAACCATCAGGTTCCGTTCTCTAATTTTCGAATAATAACAACTTAAACTAATTTACCCATTTCCAATTTATTAAGAAGTTGCACGTAAATGGTCTTCCTAGATCTGGAACCAATATTTCCCAAAGACCTATAATCTCTCAGATGTGGCAAAAGATTAACATTTATTATTGGTTTTTGACTGAAACGCATCTATATGAGACTATATTCTTCAACGAAGTCAGCGTTAACGATAGTCAAACTATTTCACACATTGAATATTTTTGGATGGCCATCCAAAACTGCTTGGCTTTTGTAATGTCCGGTAGCCCCCATTCAAATGTGCGTGAGAATCGGGCGATAATTACGACCTGCAGACAATTTTGCAGTTTTTTGGTCCATTTTAACCCCTAAATATATGGCGATCATCTCCAAAAAGAGTAAGCTTCTATTCTGACCCTCATCTTATCTCCATGCAAAATTTCGTAAGGATCGGGCCATAAATGCGATCTGTATATGATATCCTGATATCCTAACTACTTAGTTTTGTTAGCTGTAAAAATATTACCAAATGTTTAATTCAAAATGAAAATATGCCAAAAATATGACAAAATTGAAAAATTATGAGAAAATTTTACAAAATCCATATTTTCATCTTTAGAGAGATATTTTTATGCGATTTTTTTGGACGTTTTTTCTTTCCTGTCAAGAGGCCATTCTGAATTAATGAGAACTGTGGAAATCAGTTCAGCCGTTCTCGACATATAAGAGATTTTTCAAGCATATCTTCTTTGATAAACGTATATATCGCACATATTTTGCTATATATCCGTTTTATTGGATGTTTACATCAATGTAAAGATCAGAAGTAACCTTGTCATAGCTTTGTGATTTCGCCGGGATTTAAAATATTCGCGGTTTAATGAAAAATTTTGAATTTTTTCAACACAAAAGATATGGTATATTTTACCCGCTAAATATTATCCGATGACCACCCAAATTGGTAGGCCTCTTCCCCGCCCTAAACTCTAGTTACATGCGAAATTCCGCGTCGATTGGTCTATAATTGCGACCTGTATAGCTACTGCAAAATCCGAAATTTTTTCAGTATTTGGTCCATTTCAACCCCTAAACATTTGGCGATCATCTCCAAAAGAAATAGGGTTCTATTCTGACCCCAGACCCACCTCCATTCTAAATTTCGTGAATATCGGGCCATAATTGCGACCTGTAGAGTGATTACAAATTAACATGGACAGACGGACAGACGGACAGACGGACAGACGGACGGACGGACATACATAGCTAGATCGACTCAGCTCGGCGAGCTAGGAAGATCCATATATACTTTCCTATGTGGGAAACCAATATTTCGAGGTGTTACATAATTTTTGGGCCAATCAAACTTATAATACCCCCAACACATAGTGTTGTAGGGTATAAAAACTGCCTTTTACACGTCTTCTACAGAGGATGGACTTTTGAATGGTTTTCTGTAGAATATTACCTTTGAAAGACCTTCTATAAAGAAAAAAAACCGGCTAAAGGGGTTCTATAGGACAAACCCTTGAAAAAGTCTTCCATGGGGGAAGAAACTGTTAACGGTGTTCTCTATGGAAAAATTCATTTAAAGGTCTCCCATAGAGGAAAGGCCATTGAAATGTCTTCTATAGAAAAAGGACATTCGTAAATTGTCTCATAAATAACAGATCTTTGAAAAGTATTCTATAGAGAAAAAACTCTGAAAAGTTTTTCAGATAGGAAATACCTTTGGAAACATGTCTTAAGAGAAAAATCTCTGAGAAATATTCTTTCAAGGAGAGCCAATTTTGAAGGTTTTCTCAAAAGAACAGACCTTAAAAAAAAGAGAATGAGAATTGAAGGGACTCCTTTAAACAGATAATCTTTTCGGGGTGTCCTGCATATGAAAGAGATTTTAAGGCTTTTAGGACTAGGCTAAAGGTAAAAATACATAAAACGACTTTTTACTGGCTCAAGTCATCGGCTGGCATTTTTGTATAGGAACAAAGGAGTTTTAAGTTTGTTCATTTCCGAAGAAGCCAGTCAATAAAAAAAAACGATCTATGTTTTCTTAACTTAAGGGTCTTATATAGGGCAAAAACCTGTTCAAGACAAAATCTGTTAGAAACAGAAGATCTGTCAGGAGACCTCATTAGGGCCTTGGCTCGACAAAAGACCAATTTGAGGTTCTTCTGTTTACGGTAGCTCTATTTAAGGGTATTCTATAGAGACAAGACAATTCTAGAAATGCTTTGAGGAGTTTTTTTCCGAAGTCAGAAGATCAGTTTTAAGTTCCCCATCAATACCTTCTATAGGCAGTATATCCTTTCTGTACTTCTATAGACGGAAAACCCCTTTAAGGATATCGTATGGGCGGAGGACAGACCCTACAGAAAGGCTCTATTATACTCAGAAAAATGTTTTAAGGTTCTTCTATGGAAAGACTACCTCCTTAAGAATATTTCGTGAGAAAACCCATATAAAGGTCTTCTATAGAAAAAGAATACTACAAGGGTTTTTAATGGAGGGAAGTTCCATTTAAGGGTTTTCCACAGTTCGAAGACATTTTGACAATGAGATGTTGTCAAATGAATGATTTTAAAACAAAAATAAATATAAACAAACGATTGCATGACTTTTCCTTCTTGATTCTACCATGGGTAAGCTACAGGCAGGAGGCTCCATTAAGTGCCTTTATCGACGGAAGACCCTATGAGGCTCTTTTAAATGTGGTATATCTTTTTGCTTCTATAGACAGAAAACCCTTTTAGAAAATCATTGTGGAGGTTTTGTTAACACAGAAATCCCCTTTAAATGTTCTTGTATCATCAGAAGATCACTATAAAGCTATCCTGCAGACAAAATTTCCCGTTAAGCGTCTTCTATAGACAGCAGATCTCAGTAGATCTAATTTCAACATCACTTTATGTTGTACTAGTGATAAAAATCCTCTTTGTAGAAATTTTGTACACAGAAAAACTTTGTAGGGTAATCTATGGATAGAGGCCCCATTTAAGGCTCTTCTATCGATAGAAAATCCTTCTATATACTGACTATTTTACAGGCAGACCCTTTTCTAGAATCCCCCTTCGAGTGACTTCTATTAAGAGAAGGAACCTTTAAGGGGGCTTTAAAAAATCTCCCATAAACAGAAAAACATAACGTATCTAGAGGTCTTCTATAGGCTTTTTAAAGTCTTCCATGAGTAAAGAACTTCAAACAGTGGTCTATGGTGAAAAATTCACTTATAGGTCTCCTATAGAGAAAATAGCTATAAGAATATTTCTATGGAAAAAAGGAGCTTCTTCTGCAAAGAAAAAACCTTTGTAAAATCTTCTATAGAGAAATGCCGTTCAAAATGTATTCCACGCAGAAAAAACCCCATAAAAGAACTTCAAACGACAAAATTCCTTTAAACGTCTATTATATTAAAAAAATGCCATTTTGGAGGTCTTCTATAAAGAGAGGAGCCTTCAAAATCTTCTTTTAAGGGGTTTTTTAAAGGACTTCTATGGAGATTAAATTTTAAAAGCATACTAAGGGGATTTTGCGGGTAACAGTTCTCTTTATGTCTTTTATAGTGCGAACAGCTGTTCGAAAACAACATCTGTTCAGGACAGAAGACAATTTTAAGGTCTTCGATATAAAGATACCTCATTAAGCCCACTTTTTTTTGACAGCAGACCCTTTGGACTTTCTAGATAGGAGAACTCTTTAAGGTTTTTCTAAATATGGTAGATCCATGGTACAATGATATCAAGGTAGGGCTATGATACCATATGATTTTAATTTTTTTATTTTCTTGGCTTAATATGCCATCTTTATTTGTTTATGTATGTGTTTTCTTTTCAATAACAAAAATATTGTTCAGAAAATATTCAAATTTGGGTGTTTTCAAAATGTTTATTTCAACGTATGCATCGACAAAATCTAGAGTTTTTGTAGCGAAATAATCCTTTAGAGATATATAATACGTGATTTTGAAAAGATTAATTATTTATTCAAAATAAATGCAACAAGTTTGATTTTTTATTGTTTTGATACTAATTCTGACATTACAAGCCAAACAGGTAACCCTCTATACTTCCAATTTTTTCAAAGTTGGCCTACCTTCTCTTTATTGTACCATGGGTAGATCCTTGTAGGGTCTTCGTTAGACAAAATAACCGTTGAAGATTAATAGCTCTTCTAAATAGAAAAGCTCTTCCACAGACTCTCTCTAAAATGCACAGAAGAATTCTTTAAGGCTGGTATATAAAGAGAATACCGTATAAAGTTTCTTCTGTAAAAAGAGGACTCCATATAAAGGCCTTGTATAAAATAAAGACTCCTTAAAGAATCTTCAAACGAAAACATATTCCCCAAAGTGTTTTTATTATTCGTATAAAAGGGAGAATACCTTTTAATTCTTCTATAGAGGTATTTTACTGTATATATATGTTGAAATAAATGCCAATATTTTAAAAATTTGTAACAGAATATTGTTTATTTCAATTTTTTGTGATTTTTTTGATTTTAAAAATTTAGAAAAAAATGTCAAACGGGGCTGTACCAAAAATTCGATCTTCACAATCTACAGCTGGGGATCGCAATAACGATGCAGCAACTTCTCACAATCTTAACAAGGAATTATTTGAACTGAAGCCCAAACCAAAGCTGTTGTGTATTCCTGAAGATTGTCGAAGGGCTGTGAACGAATTGAGGTAATATATCTTTTTTAATAGCATGAGCTCAAACTTGTCGGTTAAGGACTGATTGAAACGCATGTATTCAGATATTAAGAATATAAAAAAATCATAATTCTACAGACTAAATACTGATAGTTGTCCAGGTCAACAACATGATATTAATAGTTTTTAGGCGAAGGAGACATCTCTTAAAGACGCATAATGCCTCATCTCCTCCGCCTAAAAGTTCCTTACATGAAATTACTCGTGTGAAGATTGTTTATAGTAAAATAACTTAATTTCCTTCTCCTTCCAGAAAAACACAGTCCTTAAATGCCCCCAAGAAGCTGCAACATGCCGAAAAATCCTGGTCTGTTATCTTTGAAGCCAAATAGAAAAATGACAAAAAATATGGCGATTTAAAGCAAATTTTTTATATTAGCAACAAAAAAGAAAACATGATAATTTGGAGGATTTTCCACGATGCCTATATTTGTCTTGCAATCACCTTATAGTCGATATGTTATTTTTAATTATGTGAAGAACTTAAAAAAATAAATAAAATTCCTAACTTTGCATAAAAAACTTAATTACTAAGAGATTTTAAATGGGTATCCATATTTCACTTGCACTTGGAAGCCATTTGACAAATGGAAGCGGTGACCACATACACAGTTAGAGCTTTCAGAAGTTTCCGCTTAACGAAACCCAAACGAAAAATGGACAAATGTAATTTTGAATTTTCCTTGACGGCCTTGATGCGGGAACTAAAAGATCTGCAGCGAAATAGAGAAAATAAGCTTTAAATATAGATTTTTTAAATCATATACCTTGACAATTTTTCAATATCCATTTGAAAAAAAAATTAAAAACAAATATTGAAAATTAAAAATGACATTGATTTCGGATTTGATATTTTTTTAATTGCAAGACATGTTCCAGTACATTTTAAAAGGGTGTTTACAAAGATATTTCAGGTGAATATTCTTCGTTCGATGTAAAGTGGTATATGAGTATAGAAATATTCGAATGTTATCATAGAAACACTTAAGAGTGTATGGAGAATTCTTCACTCAATCGTGTAGCCTAAACTGACGATCTATCTACTAACCAAAATTAGGATGATAGAATTAAAGAATAAGAATATATCTAATCGGCATTTTCTGTAATTTACCTACATTGATAGATAAATGAATATAAATTTTTACAATGAGGTGTTGTCAAAACATTTTTGAAAACTTTATAAACAAATTTTACCTTTTTATACCCTCCACCATACTATGGAGGGTATATTAATTTTGTCATTCCGTTTGATCCTCCTCGAAATACTCATTTCAGACCCAACAAAGTATATATATTCTTGATCAGCGTAAAATTCTAAGACGATTTAGCTATGTCCGTCTGTCTGTGTGTCTGTCTGTCCGTCTGTCTGTCTGTCTGTCTGTTGTAATCACGCTATCTTTCGAACAAATTGAGATAGAAGGCTAAAATTTTGCACACATGTATATTTTGCCAGTAGGCAGGTTAAGTTCGTAAATGAGCCATGTAGGTCCAAGTTATCAATAGCCCCCATATAACGGTACCTCCCGATATTCGGTATTTTGATGATTTTAGCTACATTATAAACAGATTTTTCTTCAAGTTTCGCATTTAAATATTGTAATAACTTATGACAAAAGTTGCCTATGCAGGTCCACGTCGTCGTATAGGCATTCGTCACTTTTAAGATTTTAACAGAATTTTTAACGGATTTTATTTTATTTTTTTTTTTTGGAAATTGCCAAATTTGTACCAAATGGTGGAGGGTATTAAAAGTTCGGCCCGGCCGATCTAGCGATGTCCGTCTGTCTATCTGTCTGTCCGTCTCTCTGTTGTAATCACGCTCTCTGTAATCAACGAATTGAGATAGAAGGCTAAAACTTTGCATACATGCATAGTTTTCCAGTAGGCAGCTCAAATTCGTCGGTCCACGTTATAACGGTACCTCCCGATATTCCGTATTTTAGCGACAGTATTTACCGGAATTATTTCATATTTAAAGCCTATGACAATTTTTTGACGACGTCGACGACTTTGTATAGCCCCCATATAACGCTACCTCCCGATATTCGGTATATTCATGATTTCAACAACATTATTCATCAGAATCGTTTCAAATTTCGTATTGGAAGAAATTAATGAGTACTACAATTCCGTAAACAGGTCCACGTCTTCGTATAGCTCCCATATAACGGTACCTACCGATATTCGATATTTTTTTTAATGATTTTCATTTTACAGCGTTACCTAAAATTCGACGTTTTTCCCCACACAAGTTAAACACATGCATTTACAGGGTGAGATAAAAAAACTGCCACAAAGTCAAACGCCATAATTTTTTTTACATTTTTTTAAAATTTTTTTTTTGGATGAAAGCAAAAAATGTCGGAAATAGCATCAAATTTTATAATAAGTTTCGATTTGTTCGAATTGTTCATCTTTGGCACGAATTATGGCCTTCAAATGGCCAATGAAACCGTCACACGCTGCCCAAATGTTGCTCTGCGGTGTTTTAGTCCATTCCCGACAAAGTGCTTGCTTGAGGTGATCGACACTTTGGTATTTTTTAGTGCAGCCCTTACTTTCCAAAATACTCCCGACACAATAGTCCAACGGATTGGTATCCCGAGATTTTGGTGGCCATTGTGCGCTGGAAATGAAGCGAGGAACCTCATTTTGTAACCATTCTTGGGTGGCGCGGTCTTAGTGCGATGGTGCTGAGTCCTGTTGGAATGTCCAAGGTCTGCGGCCGAAATGTTTGTATGCCCAAGGCTTTAATACACCCTCCTGAATATTTTCGCGATAATATTTGGTATTTATTGTGATGCCATGGTCGATTAATATGAGCGGAGAGCGTCCACCAGCTGTTATGGTGCCCCCACCCTCACCATGGCCGTCGCTTGAGTTCTGGGGGCCAACCGAAGGTGCACATTTTAAGCTGACCTCTTTGGCAAGTAAACACGATCATTTTGTTTGATTACAAACTGCAGGACAACGAATGTTTTATCATCGAAGACGGAGAAAACCAAATTCGGCAGTTCACTACTTTCGGCCAAGCGAAGCAACTCTTTAGCTCTTTTGAGTCTATTTTCTTTCTGTTGTGGTGTTAGTTCTTGCACTTTTTGGAATTTCAATGGCTTTACACCGAGCTCATTTTTTAATATTTGCCGAATGAAATATTGCGATATGTTCAGCTCGCGAACCATTTTTTGGCCACTGCGACGCGGGTTTCGACCAAGTCGTTTTTTTACTTTTCGAACCATTTCTGCTGATGTTGCTGTTTTCTTCCGTCCACTTCCTTGACGTCGGGCTATGCTACCATTATCTCGGTAACGAGCGATGGTACAAGACACAAACGATTTATTCACATAATAATGCTGGAGTGCTCTAACGATAGCCGCTTGTGGGTTTCAAGCCAAAAATAAAGAAATCACACTATCACGCTTGAACTCCATCACGAATAAGTTTTTTTTTCGGAAAATTCTCACCAAAATGCTTTTGTACGCTTGTAAACAATATAATGAGCTGTCACTGAAATAATTTTAACAGCTGTCGAACGAGTGGCTTAGAAATGACAGCAGTCTGAAGTTGGTTGCAGTTTTTTAATCTTGTCTTGTCAATCTTTCAATAAAAATGCTGTGCCGTTATGTACCTCTTAAGGTGAGATTACATAAAAGGCGGGTTTTTTAGAAATATTTTTGCAAGGTCAAATAATAGGCGTAGATTTTTAAGAAATATTTTTGCAAAGCCCATCAAAAGGCATAGATTTTTTAGAAATATTTTTGGAAGGGCAAACAATAGTCGTGGTTTTTTACAATACTTTTTGTATCTTTAGATTACGAGTTTCCACAAATTCCGCCTTATCCCATACAAGAGTGATCTTCACATTTTTTTTAGAAGTATGCTTCGTACCCACAGCTTATATCATCCTCTGTATTAAGTTTGCCCTCTATACTAAATTTCAAAGATCTATATTTTATCTGGTCCCTTAGTAATAATGTTTTACGTTTACGTACTTTTTAACTATTAAAACGCTGATCCGCTAATTGAAATAATCACAGAACATAATTTTCTTCACAAAACCTTACAATTCCTAAATCATTCCTTTCTTTTTAGTGATCCCATCATAATTTCAATTTAACTCAACAACAAATGAATTGGAAAATTGTAATTCAACGCTGGAATAAAGTTAAGAAAAACCAACAAACATGAAAATCTTACAAAATTAATTGCAATTAAAGCAATATCGTGTAAATCATATTTGTTTCGCCTCAAAAAAATATATTGACAATCTAATTGAGCCACACGATCGTCAAGCAACAACAAAAACATATCATAACGACGACAAGAAGGAGGAGCAGTCCTCTCTTGGCGGGCAATGCCAAGAAAAACAACAGCCAAAACGAGGCGTTTAGACAATTAAAATTTATGGATCTATTCCAAATACAATGATAACCGTTGGTTGTGGTTGGGTTGTTTGATTATGAGGCCTGAACAACATGTCGATGTTGGCAATTTGTTGTATTTTCATTGATGATGATTTCAGCAAGTGTGTGATTGTACGTGTGTGAGTGTGTGTTTGCGGGTGTGTAATTGTGCCAACTGTATGCAAATTTTGAAAAAAAAAAAAGACAACAACAATAAATTCCATAAAAAGTAGGCCTATGTCTTGTTCGAGTGACTCATGGCATCTTTTCATTTGTTTATAATCAATTTCTTTGTTTAAATGTATACAACAGCAATGGATGGGTACGGATGTTCGATGAAATTAACTCAAACCCTCAATCACTGGAAATTACACCGGGAGATTGTGAACTAAATTCTAAAAGCGTTTTCTTGGTGTACCAACAATTATAGGTATTTAGTTATGAGTTTCTGATTAAATTTCCAGGACCTACAGGAATTCTTTAAATTTTATCTATCATATTTTTTAATAATTGATATATTTTTAAATCCTATCAAAATCGCCATGGATTTACAAATTTCCCTTATTTCATCTATTAAAAATAATTAATAAACCTAAATCCATTAGCACAATGATGATAACAATAATGATGACAATATTAAGTCAAGGTTTCGAGAACATTTATCTTTTTTTTGGGGCGACACAAATGTGTGTCACCGCTCACTGTCCAGAGACCATGTGTTTGCCAACATTTTATGCTTCCAGCTGGACCGATGAGTTAGATGAATGAACTAACAAAACAACGCCAAAAGATTGGTTCACACATTGGCCAAACCTAATATAATGGTATAACCCAGCAAACCAAATGTCGGAAGTTCGATGAATCTGCTCAAAGTTTTTTTTCCAACGCCTCTGACCGAATTAGTTCTGAGCAAGTATGTAATACCTTCCACCACTTCCATAGTATGGAGGGTACATTAAGTTCGTCATTCTGTTTGTAGCTGCTCGAAATAATAATTTTAATAACGCTAAGACGATTCTAAGATTTAGACCCGTCCGTCCGTCTGTCCGTCCGTCTGTTGTAATCACGCTAGAGTCGAAATGAATTAAGATAGGAAGCTACAATTTTGCACAGATTTGTCTTTTGTCTGCAGGAAGGTCAAGTTCGAAGATGGGCTATATCGGTCCACCAAATCGTATAGCCCCCATATAACGGTGCTTCCCGATATTGGGTATTTTGATGATTTTAATCACATTTTTCAATAGAATTGTCTAAATTTCTACAAAAGAATTTTTTTGTGACTACTTTACCTCCTGAAATAGAATTGTCTATATAGGACCACGATATCGTATATCCCCCATATAACTGTTAGTCCCTATTTTTTAATGGAATTGTCTGAACCCAAAGAGTTCTCTGCGAGTACCTTACCCCCTGAAAGGGAATTGTCTATATAGGTTCTCGATATCGTATAGCCCCCATATAACGGTGCCCCCCCCCCACA